ATTTTTATGAATTCTTCACTGAGGAATTTCAGGGTGAGAAAATTCCTAAGCGAAGAACTACTTGCAGCAGAATAAGTACTCAGGTATAAGGATAACAGAGCAACATCATAGTCATCATGATGAAATGAAAGACAAACACAGAGTACAGAAAGCGTAAACACAGGATAAGCAGGATGAATACAAGTTGACCGAAGAAATAGGACTGAGGAAATAGAGAAAGTCTTCAGTCAAAGTCTTCAAACAGTAATGATCAGGTACATCAACACATAACTGAGGAAATGAAAGGGTTGAGGAAATAGAACCAGTAGGCTTGGTGAAGAAAATGATTTGGTAGACCAGTTCCAACTGTTGTGGCAGTTGTACGTCTGGTTGGAGTGGCTGAGTATTTAAACTCGAGGACACACAGTCCTAGACACACAGTCCTCACCGTATTCTCCTTGAGCTAAGATCACACAGACCTCGCCCAACAGTAGTGGTAAGTCTTCACAGGTGACTTCCAAACCTTCACAGACTTGGTCACTCGGCAATCCACAATTCCTCTTGGATGCTCAGACCATGACGCCTAACCGTCTGGAGGATACACAGTCCTCAAAGGTAACAAGCGTCGGTTCCACACAGGAACAATCTCTTCAGTGATGCTCAATCACTTTAGGGTTTGTAGGTTTGGGTTTGGGATTTGGGTTTTCCTCACTTGATGATTTTCGCTCAAAGTCCTCGGAGGATGGGATGCTCTCAAATGACAAGTGTCAGTTTCTCTCGGAGCAGCCAACCAGCTAGTGGTTGTAGGGGGCGGCTATTTATAGCCTAGGGAGCAGCCCGACATGATAAGACATAAATGCCCTTGGCTGATATGACCGTTAGGTGGTAGGATATTTTGGGACAGCTGGCGCGCGGCACAGCAACGGTCGAATTTGAGGTTCGAATTCCTCAGGGCTATCATGTTCTTCATTGTGTAGGCAATTCGCACTGGCGAATTTCTAACTCCTCAGTCAGAACAAATTCCTCATAGACCAGAAGATCTTCGTCTCTGTCACTGAAGAAATTGACTGAATTGATCTGAGATTTCCAATGGCTTCACTCGAAGGATTGGGTAGGTGTAGGATTTTGAGATGAGCATCACTTGGAAATCGGTTTCCTTAGTATTCCCTCGACCCCCTTTAACAGTACGGTGTTTCCTATGACTTAAGAAAGAGTAAATGAAACTACGAAAACAAAAGTCTTCACGCTTCAAATTCCTCGCATGAATATCTAAGTCTTCAAGGTCACACCAATTTCTTCACTTTCAAAGTCTTCAGGAGAACCAAAGTCTTCAGTCGAAGACATTCATTTTTAGGGGTCGATTTTCACTGTAAATATCAAACTCCTCATTGACTTATAGAGCCTGTGTACACTCACAAACACATTAGTCCCTTAACCTATAAGTCTTCAATACACCAAAATCACTAAGGGGCACTAGATGCACTTACAAGATTGAGCTCCATAGGAGTATCAACGGTGCGCTCATCACTAAGAGCAGCACAAGTAAGAAGTCCTGGATATACTTTTCTTGGGAAATAAAGAAGGCATCAGAGGTGGATGAAACCTCAATCCCAAGAAAGTAACGAAGAGGACCAAGATCAGACATAAGGAACTGCTCACTGAGGTGGGCCTTGATAAAGGCAATGTACTCAGAATCATCGTCGGTGATGATCATGCCATCAACATATAGAAGAAGAAGAGTCCTACCACGAGCAGAAAGGTGGACAAACAACATTGAATCATGAGCACTGGGCATAAAACCAGCTGCAGTCACCACAGAGGTGAAGCGCTCAAACCAGGCACGGGGGCTTGCTTAAGGCCATAAAGAGAGCGATGAAGACGACAAACCATGCCATCGGGAACAGAATACCCAGGTGGTGGCTGCATATAAACCTCCTCACATAACTCACCATTTAGAAAGGCATTCTTCACATCAAGCTGAGACACAGACCAATGGTGAATAGAGGCCAGGGCGAGAAGTGTACTGACAGTGGTCATATGGGCCATGGGAGCAAAAGTCTCATCGTAATCATGACCATGCTCTTGTTGAAAGCCATGAGCCACAAGACGAGCTTTATAACGCTCAAGAGAACCATCAGAGCGAGTTTTTATCTTATAGACCCACTCACAAGTGATGGGATGAACACCGGGAGGAAGAGAAACCAGATCCCACGTGCCGGTGCGCTTAAGGGTGGCAATCCCCTCAGCCATTGCAAACTGCCATTCAGGATGCACAATAGCATCTTGATAAGAAGTCGGCTCAAGAACGGTCGAAATACCATAGTGAGATGGAGAATATCTGTCGGGGGCGGACAAGACCGAGAACGAAGACCATAAGTCGGCTGAGAGGAGGAAGACGACACATTAGAAGTAGAGGGCATATCAGTAGACTCATCCACAATGTGTGGACGACGAGTATAATGAAAAGGAAAGGAGGGAAGTGGTGGAATCATTGGAGACGAAGACGGGGAATGTATCGACAAAGGTGGAGAAGGGGAAGTATTGGTGATGAAGATAGAGAAGATGAAGGTATCCATGATGAAGGTGGAGAGTCATGTGATGAGGGAGAAGAAGAAACCGTAAGAGAGGACGGCGTCGAATCTGCAACAGCGGGACGAGGAGTAGGAATACTGGGCATAGAGGGAGGTGTATCATGTTAGGGAAATATGCAACTTCATATTATTAGGAGGCCAAAGCCATCATATATACATGTATAAGAGAACACTAAGAGAGATCAACATCAAAGCTACTGCCAGCACAGATTAGCCCCCGCGTCGTCTTCTTGGCGGTTCAGGGGAGAGAAAAAACTTGTCGTCGCGACTCCTCCCCCTCCCCTCCTAGTCTCGCCGCCACCGGAGGGGTCTCCCTGGCAAAGGTCGGGCGGCCCTGAGGAAGGTGGCGGCGGGGCAACGATTCCCTTGTGGTGGCGCGGCCATGCCAGAGCTCCGCGCGTGGCAAAGGAGTTGCGGACGGCAACGGCCACCGCCGCGGGACGGGCAAAGCACGACGATCCGATTGGCCTGGCGCTGCGAGCACACTGTGCGTGGCGACGGTGTGGCCTACGATCTCCTACTTGGCGGCTTGGATCTGGGGCTTCTGGTCTGGGTTGGGCATCCAGGTTAGGGCTTTGCATGGTGTCACACGGCGACGGCCGCTCTGCTGCGTGCTGGGCTGTTGGTGGTGGCCGGCCAGGAGGCGGTGGTGGATCTGGCTTTAGATCTGTCCGGTGGCGAGTTTGGAGCGGCAAGACTTCCGGTGAAAACCGAGCCTCGACTACGGTCATGATGGACGATGGCGTCATCTTTTGGCGTCGTTACCTTGTCGAAAGTGTCGTCGTAGCAAGCCGCGTCACTCCTTTCGGCCTGCTTTGGGGAAAACCCTAGATCTGTTTTCATGGATCGGACGATGGCGACGTTAGGCGTCGCGCTCCTTGCTGGAGGCATCGTTTAGGAGCAGGTACCGACTTGGGTGGACAAGTGATGGAGCGGCGTGGTATCTATCGCGTCATCGACGACTGGTCTCGGCGGCGTCGCGCAGCGGGTTTTTGCCGACAGATGTGTGACGATGGACGCGCGCAGGGAGGTGGCGTTGTCTGGCGTCATGGTGGCTTCGACGGCGGTTAGACCGGGCACGGTAGATGCATCAGTACAACACTGAAGATGAATTGGTGGCAGGTGGCTGCGGCGGCCTCATACCCGGCAGGCGTCCTGGTTGAGGAGTGCGCCAGACTGGTGGGTGCCCCATACCCGGCATGTGTTCTGGTTGGGACCTCAGGTCTTAAATGTTAGGTTTGGCTGCAAGGCTTGTTTGGTATTAGGCTCAAACTATGAGCATCCCTTCATCAACTGGATAGGAGTAGCGATAGAAGTTGCCTAGACGATGGCTTTAGTCTTATTATTGTATGACTTTGTAAGGACTTATGTGAATAATTAATAAAATGACTGCATGAATCGTCCAGATGCAGAGGCTGTCGGTCCTCCTTTTCTAAAGAAAAAAGAAAGGCTAGAATACAAAAGGTCAAAGGTCATCATCAGTATAACTATAATACGGGTTATGCAGTGGGCTTGTCAGGTCGTCAATGGCAGCCTGCATATGAAGAAGTTGGGTGCCCCCTAAGTGGTTTTTTTTTTTGCATGGTTAGCGCTGCAACATCGGTTGTGGATGTCAGATCGAAGAGCTAGGCACGGCTTGCAGGATGACTCATCGGCATATTACACGTATCTCCAGCAAGAAGATAATGTTGAGCATATCCTAACCCGATGCACTTATGGTAGGGAGGTTTGGTGTGGAGTTTGGGATCAGCTCTAGATCAATGTAAGCGGTCCTCTGCCTGCTGACTCGACACTGTATTGGTGGTTAATGGAAAGGAGGAACTTTCGGAAGAACGACAAGAGGGTTTGACACCCTGTTACGGTTGCTTGGCCTCTCTACAATGCACGGGTGTTCAACCGGGTGCAACAGCAGCGGCAGACGGAGGAGCTCATTGATAAGGTGTGTTACATAGGTTTGTGAGGAGTTAGGCTTCTTTGTACTAAGTGTGGGTGGTGAAGTGGGTCTCTTGTCTACCAAATGTGTGCATTCGTCGTGGATTCTTGTAAATATTCTCTATCTTCTATAAAAATATAGTACGCCATTGGCGTACTCTTGAAAAAAAAAAGGCTCCTAACAAAAATGCATAGAAAACAAACAGATAAACCTGTATATCCATTCATTCATATTGTCAACCAAAGGGATTTCCATGACATCATTTCTCCACCATGCTATACGGAGACTCATCACAGCCTCGTTACACTTTGTCCAGTATATGCTCACAGCGTGCCATATTCACAATCAAGTGTCGTGTTGATCCTTGGCCAATCAACATCCATGCTCACCTGGTCAGTGTCCAATTCAGTTCTTCCAACTCTAGTCAGATCGAAACGTCTCTGCTCTCGTCCTCTGTCATGTGTGGCTATGCCATCTTGCACTTCCTAGTGAACAGTTTAGTAGCTGAGCAGCAGGCGATTACGAGAAGCACCACAGCAATGACAAAAACTGCAGGTAGCATATGAAGTCCATCAAGACATACAACTAGATAAGTGCTGCAATGTGAGGAAAGCGACAAATCATGGTTTGAAACGTTGAGATCGATGTTAGTAGCATACCGGCAATGGTGCCAAAGAACAGCAGCGCAAGGCGGTGTCGTACAAGCCATGGAAGCTCTGTTTCAAGACTACAATGTGCTTCAAAAGAATGCCCTCCTTTTTTGTTTGCATGTGCATTTGATGGCTTCAGCTCAGATATAGGGAACTCCACGCCATCAACAGAATTTCCCTGTAAATCTCTTAGTTCAATTTTAACCCGTGGAGTTACTGCATTCCAATCTATTTCGATTGCTCCAAAATTTGGCTGACCTGATACATACAACAACAAAAGGACCAACCGATGAAGGACTACAAGAACAATTCAAACCACAGCAGAGAATAAATTAAATATGGGCTGAAAATTCGTAATGATGTTCACAGTTTCATGGTCATAGCATTAAACTGCAGCTTTTAGAAGAAAAAAACTTGTGAAATGAAAGCTTACCATATGAGCATGATTTGTGACGGCAGTTAGGGCTGAAGACTCGCATGGGGGTTGGTGTCAGCCAAGCCAGAAGTCTCATAACAGATTGGAATACTGCTGGTACAGAATTCTCGACAGACTGGGTAAGACCACTTGAGGTAATATCATACAATGGATATTGAGCACCACAGTCAAAACGAGCGATTTCTCCAAAATGAACATCGCCACTAATAAATAAGACCCCATTTCTCTGCATATAGTCAGCGCATATTCCGTGAAAATAATAAACAGGTAAGACAAATAGTCATTTTAGATGACACCTGTGGAATATTGCGAAAAATCCAACACTGCTGTAATGAGTAAATCTAAAGCTTTACAGCATGCCAATAGGGGACACATCATCAAACTGGGCTACATTTTTTCTAATATGAGAATAAATGGGTCATAAACAAAGTAAAACTGTGAAATATGACAGCTACTTAATTAATGAATATGCCGAAGAAGAACTGCCTTTTAGTAAAGTAATAGTAAGCAACCTTACTAGTATCGATCAGTTTAAATAGCCGTTCTCTCTCCCTCGGAAAGCGTGCCCAGGACTCCACATAGAACAAAGGTCTAGTGGTGGCAGAAAGATTGGACACTACCTGCATAAACACATTGGAAAATGTTGTGTTACTCTATGCTACTCCAATGAAAATCAAATAGAAATAATAATAAAAAATAACGGAAGTGCCAAAAGAAAGGTCAAAAAGATGGCGGTCAGTGACTAGGATCTTCTTCTGCACTCATTCAGCAGTTGTTAAAACTTAAAACACATGGAAGATAGTATTATTCAAATTATCTCATCAAAATCAATCATAGATGACACTTATGTTGCCGAATCTTTTTATCTATGTATGTGTTAGAGTACGTAATGGGCCTAATGGGCCCATTAGTCTTAGGGTTAATTAGAGATAAGGGTCGTTTGCTTAGGGGTCAAGTAAGTCTTGCTTGAGAGTCAAGTAAACCTCTCTATATAAAGAGAGGAGATGTATCAATCTAATCAAGCAAGAATTAAGAAGGAAATCCCTTCCCTCTTGCCTGGCCGTGGGCAAAAAGGCCCCCGGCCGGCCTTCTCGCGCCCTCCTTCTAGCAGCGCCATAACAATTTGGTATCAGCTAGCTCCGGTTCGATCATGTCTTCACCGCCGCCAAGCCCGTCTCTTCCGCTGCCGGTCACCTTGTCGCCTCCGGCGACCACCACGACCGTCGCCCCGCTCCTGCCCGCGCCGGGATCCTCTGTCGCGCCCGCCCCCGCCATCCTCACCTGGGAGGAGGTGTCCGGGGTGCTGCGGGACCTAACCCAGGCGGTCCAGGAGATCCACTTGTTCTTGGCCGGGTCCTACAGGCCGCACCCGGTTGTGCCGCCCATCGCCGCCGCCGCGCCGCCGTGGCTGCCGTGGCAGCCGCCGCACCAGGCGGCCTTCGCCGCGCTCGCCAGGCCGCTGCAGCTGCCATGTATCGCCACCATCGCCCAGCCCTGGCTGCAGTGGCAGCCGCCGCTCCTGGCGGCCTCCGCCGCGCCCGGCGCTCCGACGCAGCAGCCGTTGCCGCTGCCCGGCGTGACAGCGCAGCAGCCGCTGCAGCTGCAGCAGCCACCGCCGGTCAGCTCCGCCGCCCAGTATGGGATGCCCTACGACGGGAGTGCGACGACCTCGTTCCCATCAGCGCCGCCGCCATCCCAAGGCGTCCACATCCAGCAGATCAAGTCCCTGCCGTCGCCGTCACTGCTTCCGTCTTGGATCGCTACCCGCCATGTGTCGGCGGCGGTGAGGCTGCAGGCTGCTGCGCGAGGCCTCCTAGCGCGTCGGCGTGTGCGGGAGATGCGTGGTCTGCAGCTGCCGCTCCTCCAAGTTGCCCTTCGCTGCGCAAAGGACCTCGATCTCGTCCGCTGCGTCGGGGATCTGGGCATGTGGTTTCCCCCACGGGCGGCCGGCATGCTGTTTTCCCCGCGGGCAGCGACCTCAAAGTCTGCGACATCGGCGGTTGGGGGGGCGCACCCCTCGTCATTCTCCATCACAAGCCCTCCACTCTTCCCTGTGCGGTGCAGACCAACAGCCATACACATGCACTCCTTTTGTCCAGGTGGTGTCCATGGGATCCAGGTGGCTGTACATGTGCACATCCAAAATAAAGCGTCCTAGTCTATTTCAGGTTGAGAATAATAAAACAAGCCGAGATGTAAAAGGCTTGTTTTTAGGTGTTAGGTTTGTGTTGCGTCGAGTCATGGTTATAAGTTGGTTAGGCTGCAGCTCGAGGACAAGCTGCATGTCCAGGTGGGGTGTAGTGTTAGAGTACGTAATGGGCCTAATGGGCCCATTAGTCTTAGGGTTAATTAGAGATAAGGGTCGTTTGCTTAGGGGTCAAGTAAGTCTTGCTTGAGAGTCAAGTAAACCTCTCTATATAAAGAGAGGAGATGTATCAATCTAATCAAGCAAGAATTAAGAAGGAAATCCCTTCCCTCTTGCCTGGCCGTGGGCAAAAAGGCCCCCGGCCGGCCTTCTCGCGCCCTCCTTCTAGCAGCGCCATAACAGTATGAAATGATAAGAGAACCTTTGATTCAATACTATCATCTGCCACAAAATTGTGGTGACGAACTGAAGACCTACTGGGAGTCCCATTCCCACTTGAGATTATCATCCTTGCTGCATGGGCCAATTCGATCACTAGGAATGGCTTCATTTTTAAGGGCATACCTCCTGGTTTATATAAATGCTGGAAGACATTCAAAGAGGAACTCAACTGGGTTGTACACAGAGCAAACAGGAAGGAGTATGTGAACTTCAAGGAGTGGGTTCAAGCCTTTAGATGATACCATTCAGTTCAGTTAGCTGCCCTGTTTTCAAGGCACTCATGTATTTGTGCCTACTCTTTTCTCTGTTTTTTGGACGTCTGGTTCTCCAGATCCTGTATAGCCTTTGTTTTGTTTTCTCTTCGCTTTTAATTCTTTTATACAGACTATCTTTGTATCTTATTTTGAAAATCAATAAAAATACGCAGCAGAGCCTGCTGTTTCCCTAAAAAAACTGAAGGTGTATACCCAAACTTTGCAAATTCCTTACCACACTAAGTTTCTGCATGTTCCAATGCTTTTATGAAAATTTTAAGTTTGCAACAAGACCAGTCATAATCCTAGGACAGATCCATACTTTGCAGTATCCTATATCCACTTCTATTGGAAGAACACATAAACAGCCACCAGAGTTTACCCTGTGTCTATTTTAGGACTAGTGAGAGAGTATACTTACCTGAATTGAAGATCCAATGATGGTCATCTCTGACTGAGGACCACGTAGCTCCCTCTCCAGCCACTGCCACTGAGGATCTCCAAGTATAGTTCCATCACTTAAGAGTGGGTCTCTGTGATATCTGGTGTCCAACATTATTACCTGCAATAATGTATGAATATTTGTAGTGCATGTAAAATTAATAGTGAAATGGAATCTTCAACGAAATTTGCAAACACACTGGTTCACTTTTGTGTTTTTGACTGATAAATCACCATTTTAGAGCATGTAGAAGTTGTCACCAACTCAAAACTTATGCCGGTGCTCATTATATCTGCCAGGGTGCTATTTTATACTGGTTATAAACAATGAGTGTATTGTGTTTAACCATGCTGGACTAAACAAATATGGAGTAGCATACAAACTATATATGCAAAAGCAACATCAACTGAAAAGACAAGCACAAATCAGCATACACCAAGTACCAGGTTGTTACAAAACTAACTTGTGATGGGGGTTTCTATGTAAGGAATATAAATAATGAAGCAAAAGATGCTGAAGGGATAACTAGAAGAGCTCAAATATTTATTCTAGAAACCTATGAAATGGTACTTGGTTGCAAATTATATAAGGATAAAAGGGGAACATTGTGCACACTGGAAGAATCGCAAACATGTTTATTTATGCCTATGGAGACATCCTATTTGAACAAGATTTTGACAAATATAAAACTTCAAGTTTTACAGCAAAAGTTGCACATGGTATTATAGACTCTACCTTTACACGTTTTCCTTCAGGGCCAAACATGTATGAGGCATAAACACCTGCTTGCTTCCTCCTAAATAAACAAGAGAGAAAGTACTGTGAGGTTTCTGATGGCCTGCAACTGCAGGTGTGAAGATCTGAAATATTCAAAAAAGATTCGAATATTCTGCGGAAAAACAGATTTGCAAGAAACATCATAAAGCAAAACAAAGGAATTCTGGAGTACCATCATTTACAAGGCAGTGACCGCATACAAAAGAAGATCAAGAACTCATAATTAATTCAGTGGTCATGCGTATATACCGTGGACTGTCTTCATCTTCATCCAGGAAATCTAATAGAAGCCTTTGGGAGAACACTTTTCCACTATATTCCTTTCCTGCATCATTCACTCCATAATCATGGTCATCCCATGTTCCAATGACCTGCACATTATAGTGAACAACAGTGATGCCAAGTACTTAATTAAGTGGAAATTTTGAAATAAGAAACGATAATAAAGTTGCACGAATCTTCATGTGCTCAACGGATACGAAAACTGTCCCGATTCGCAAACATAGCACTGAGCAATAAAATGAACAAATAAAATTTTGTGGCGGCCTACTGCTCACTGCTCAGTTGTAGATTAACATCATGAAATTGACTCCTTAACTGGTGTGGAATAATCAGTGCCATCAACATAGTATCTGCATTTCATGATACTGAATTTTGTAATAAAGACAAACGCAACCCCAGAACCACAAGAAACCTCCCCCACCCAGCTCCAACAAACCATGTTTTGGACTTGCAGACACAGAGACCAGACAAAACAGTGGACTATTTAACCCTGTAATAAAGAAGCAAAATCTCACAAGACAGTGAAGTCGCTAGCAACAACAGTGGGTGCCATCAAGAAAAGGAACTTGTCCTGGTCGACCTTAAAGAAACAAAATCTAACGACCGACTACCGAATACACAGGCAATGGCAATTGACTACAGCTAGCAATTTCAAGAGAGCAAACGACGGGGAGCTCACCCTAGCCCTCTCCCTCAGCTTGGCGTACCCCGGGTTGGCCTTGGCCAGCTCGTACTTCCCGCGCAGCTCCTCCTCGGTCGCCGGGTAGAACCGCGGCACGTTCCTCCAGGGCCCCACCGTCCGCTCCCTCCCGAACACCCGGAACGGGCGCTTGTTGTCCCCGTAGACGTTGTCCCCGAGCCAGATGAAGACCTGCGGGTCGAACCCCACGATGGCCTCCCACACGGGCTGCAAGGAAACAACAGCAAACAGACCCCCGTCACCTCCATCCACTCAAGCAAGGGCAAGGAAGTCGAGACCAGGCGGTGCAGCGGGCGTTCCGTCGAGCACCTGGGGCGCGCTCTGGTTGGCGCAGGAGCCAAATGCGATCCTGGACACCACGGCGGTGGTGTTGGGGGCGGCGCGGAGGGAGGGGACGAAGAGGATGAGAAGGAAGAGATGGACGAGCCGGGAGCCGGCCATTGGTGCGAGCGAGCTTGAGAGCAGAGAGGAGAAATGGTGGGGGGTTCCGCGGAGAAGTGGGAATATTCCAGTTCCCACGTTTTCCTTTTTCTTCGAGAATTGCATCGATGGATCCTGGTGATACGTGTGATGTGGTAAACGAAGCAGGTGGGTGAAAACCGGGCAATGAACAGCTTGATGAGCCTGTTTTTTTTTCTCCTTTTCTAGTATATACTCCCTCCGTAAAGAAATATGAGAATGTTTAGATCACTAAAACCAAGTATTACAATAATATGACACGGGCGGGCCGTAAGCCATTAGATATTATATTTTTGATGAGTTGAAGAAGAGAGAGGAAGAGAGAGAAAGGAAGCGGACTACTAATTAACAGCTCGTTGCAGCACGCGCTCCTAGACTTGTTATGAGAGAGTGAGTGGGCCATATATTAAAAAAATACTCCATCTTATAATATAGGACGTTTTTTAACATTATACTATATAACTATTGTACTTGCCGGTTATAAACTTGACTACACTATATAAGATGTGCAAAATTATATAACCAGTAACTGGCTATACTATTAACCATGCTCTAAAGAGGGAGTACATGTGATGATGTCCCCTACATTGCTGCCGCCGGAACTTTGCGACAAAAAAAATCTAAAACTAACAGAAGTAAAAATAACTTATGACTAACATACATGAATTGTTGATATGATGCGCTGCATCTATATCTATACTATTTATAAAAGAGCGAATATTTTCTTTGTTAAAGCCACCCAACAAATGCACACGGACATATTGCAATCACCAGATTAGTCTCATTTAATTAAATCTAATTGTCAAAATTAATCTGATCCAATATCTAATGTGGACTTAGCAATTATCAGGGAGTGGGCCACTCCACGGGCAGAGCAATCGGTTCGCACGAAGGCTGGCCTTTGATTCCCTGTAGGCCCGCTCAGAAGAGTCATACGCAGCGGAGGCACTCCTGAAGCCCGCGCAACATGCATTCCAAGAGGTCGGGTCCCCCAACAAAGCATTTTTTTAAGATTGAGCTCTATAGAGAAAAACTTAGCCTATGTTGTCTCAACATAGTGGGTCCCAAGCCCGGGTAAAAAAGGAAGGTTGTGATAGGCTTGGCGAGCCAACGTAAAAACTCAGCCACTCTTATGGAGATGAAATCCAAAAGATTTTCGTTGGGGTGTAACCCTCTCAGTGACACGCCACATCGGAACCTTCGGGAGGTGATACCTGGAGAGGGTGTTGTCCCTTAGCATAAGCTGGTGGTTGCCGACTTCTGCTTTCGGATTCATGTACAACGGGATAAGCATGCCAAAGTCGCTAGAACAAAGTGGTGGAAGCTCAGGGACAAGGTAGCTTAGGCGTTCAAGGACAGGGTCATTAAGGAGGGCTCTCGGGAGGAAAAAGGGGATGCGGACAATGTGTGGATGAAGATGGCGACTTGCATTCGTATAGTGGCTTCGGAGGAGTTTGGAGTGTCCAGGGAAAGTAGAGGTAGAAGCGAAGTTAAGGATACCTGGTGGAATGATGATGTCCAAGGCTATTAAGGAGAAGAGATATTGTTTCAGACGCCTATACCTGGATAGGAGTGTAGACAACATAGAGAAGCACAAGATGACGAAGAAGGCCGCGAAGCAAAGCTATCAGTGAAGCAAGGGGTTGGGCGTATGAAGACCTCTACCAGCGGTTAGGCACAAAGGAAGGCGAAAGGGACATCTATAAGATGGCCAAGATCCGAAAGAGGAAGACGAGGGATGTTAACCAAGTCAAATGCATCAAGAACGGAGCAGACCAACTCTTGGTGAAGGACGAGGAGATTAAGCATAGATGGCGGGAGAATTTCGACAAGCTATTCAATGGGGAGAATGAGAGTCTACCATTGAACTAGACGACTCCTTTGATGATACAAGCACGCGTTTTGTGCGGCGAATCCAGGAGTCTGAGGTCAATGAAGCTTTAAAATGATCAAAGAAGGCAAGGCGATAGGCCTTGATTTTATCTCCATTGAAGTGTGGAAAGGCCTCGGGGGCACAACGATAATATGGCTAACTGTAACACCCCTGATGATAAGCCACAATAACTTCACCCTAATGATGCCATATCACCATGATTACTAAGCTTGATTGCCCCTTGATTAAAACTCAATTCAAATTCAAATTTAAAATAAAGTCAAAGTTAATATTTCTTCAAACAGTAAAACTAAAATATTTGCATTATTCTAAAAATTATCATGATCATTGTCATGTTGAAAACCAACTTCATTTGACTCACAAATAAATTCCTAGGAAATTAATAATGGTCCAACATCAACTAAAATGGCCTTTTCAAAATAAAAAATTATTTATTTAACTCCAATTGCCTTCAAACTTTGTGTGCAATCTCAAAATAGTACCTAGTATTTGTGTGCTAAGTATCATGTGTAGCAAAATTCATTTGTTAGCTGAAGTAAATAGAAAATAATAGAGAAAAAAAGAAAAAGAAAACTAAAAAAGGTAAGGCCCATGTGGTCTGGGAAAGGCCCAGCCCTTTCCCCTCACTCGCCCCCCTCTATCGTGGTAATCTCACATCAGATGCCAGGGGGTGGCTTATCGTGGGTGGAGCCATGAGGACGTCGTCGGGTTCCAGAAGCGAGAGTGAGCACGAGTTCGAAGGCACACGAGACGTACCCAGGTTCGGGGCTCTCCGGAGAGATAACGCCTCTACTCCTACTATGATGACTATGATCAAATGACTACAAGGTTTCTCCTTCAGCTGTGTTGCTAGAGGAGGAAGAAGGGTCGGGCTAGCTCTCTTCTCCTAGCTATGGTGTGTGGTGGAATGAGGGCTGGACCCTTTCCATGGGTGAGCCCTGGGGGGGTTTATAGTCCAACCCCCCAGGGGTACATTCGTAATACGGCCGGGTGTAGGACCCGGACGTCAGTGTCTAAGGTCGCTAGGTTCTCCACCAGCAGTTGGGGCCTGCCGCTGGAGGGCCCCACCGGCTGTCAAGAATCCGAATGATAGGTAGGGCTCGTCGCTTGCGGGCCACGCTGATTGCCTTTTGCTGTAGCCCTGTCCTTGATGACGGAGGCCGCATCAGGAGTTGTATGGCTATAGTCCCGCGTACGACGGGTTGGTGGCCGCTTGGTCAGCGCACATTGTGGCCACGCTCCGTCTCGTCGAAGCAGGTGAGTGCGGACTCCGAGGGAAGGGAAGGGCGGCTGCTGGATATCGGCCCGCCCCCAAAGCAGCCTTCTAGGGGGACGCCGTCTTCTGGGAGCCCGCGTACTGGTAGGGCCTGCCGCCTACGGGCCATACTGGTTACCCTTTGTGGCAGCATGGCCCTTGCTGACGAGGGTCATGTCATGAGTCGCATGGCTACAGTTCCACGCCTGGCAGGTAGGTAGCCGCTTGGTCAGCTCATACTGTAGCCACGCTCCTCTGGGATTTGGGGGAGTAGGTGGCTTGTACCACGCCCCGTCTTGTCGTAGTGGGTGAGTGCAAACTCCGAGGGGGAGGACGGGCTGGCTGCTGGAGGTGGGCCCACTCCCCACACCGTCTTTTGGGGTGCGCTGTCTTCTGGAAGCCGGTCGCGAGGTCTTGTCCGCCTTCTAAGGGGACGTCGTCTTCGGGAAGGTGGCCACCTGGTCGATAGGCTTGAGGGGCAGTGCAAGCTCCAATGTTTTGAAATGCTAAGGGGTGCTGATGAGGCTACCTGGGGTCTATCCCCCCGACAGTAGTACCGAAGCTGGTGAGGCGCCACGGCCCGATGCCGGAGTGCCTCAGTAGTTTCCTCCTCCAAGAGATCCAGGGTCATTGCTTTGTCCGGCTTGAAGAAGCCGTCTGCCAGGAGTCGGCCGAGGTAGAGCCGGCCGCTTGGTGGATTTGAATCGCCATAGCAGGCGCCAGGCTGACGGCGCCGGGTGGCGCGCTTGCCGCCCGTTGCACGCTTGCCACGCGTCGCCAGCAGGCCAGGCCGACCTGCCAGCCCACGCGCGTGACAGAACGTTGCTGCAGGCTCGGGCCCACCACTACAGGGCCTCAGCACGCGCGCGGATCCGCTGCGGTCGAGGTGGATGATAACCCACAAGTATAGGGGATCGCAACAGTTTTCAAGGGTAGAGTATTCAACCCAAATTTATAGATTCAACACAAGGGGAGCCAAAAAATATTTGAAGGTATTAGCAGCTAAGTTGCAATTCAACCACACCTTGAGATTAATTATCTACAGCAAAGTGATTAGTAGCATAGTAATATGATAGTTTTTATGATAGCAGCAGTAGCAACAATAACGGTAACAGTGATAGATGGCTCTCCTCTCCACCACCGCCACCCTCCCCCTCCCTCTCCTCCACCGCACCAACCATGGCGTTCTCTAGCTCCTCCACCCATGGAGGGCTTACTGCATTAGGATTTTTCATCGGGCATTGCCCTTGCTGATCAGGTGAGGCGAAGGTTTGGATTCACTGTTCATTTCTCGCCCTCTAGAGACGCCAAGGAGTTCTTTTTGGTGGTCTCTTTTTCCTCGGCTTCCTTCCCCTCTCGGTGGATTCTGTTGGAATCGCTCTGCAGTGTTGTACTGGTGGTCTTTGCTTGGATTTCAATGTGGTGCAAATCAATTCTCGTTCCTTTCGATTTTCTATGGCAAACAACAAGCTGGGGCATTTCATCTATAAGCTCAAAGACCGCATTTGGCCAGATTTTGTTTGCCACTTCCACTTGGTTAACGGGAGATTTTCCAAAGCCCCAATACTTGCCACTAGTTGGCATGCAGACACGGAATTGACTGATATTGCTGCTCGTAAACCCTTGGCTATCAAATCTGACTTGATGTTCTTACATTCCAACAAGTATGCGTTACAAGGTTCATATACAGACTGCAACATGAGTAGTTTGACACCAATTTCCTCTATGGTTTTCTCGGATAACAATGCTCATGAGGCTTCTTCTTCCACCCTACCAACGAAGATGATCATACCTAATTCTTCCAAGGATATTCAAATTAAGTTTGGATCTTTT